TTAGGGCAGATGAGAATGTGTTTTGGAGGTGCTGAGCTATACTGAAATGGGTGGAGTTTTGCTGTGGTTGTATCCACTCAGTGCAGAAGTGCAGGAATTGGGCTCATGGTTCTTTTCTGCCATCTGTTTCTCTTTGGTTTATCTCTGCCCCGGCCCTGGCTGCAGTGCAATTTATGGTGTATCTTTGGTATCTATCTGCTGCTTACTATGTCTAGTAGAATATTTTTTGAGGAGGCCTGGAGTACATTCTGTTATCATGTTTTTTTTCTTATTGTGAGGAATGGAAGTTGAAGGTTTTAGCTCAAGTCTGGTGTTTTTTGGCCTCATATATTTGTTGGGCTACTGTTTGGAGTTCAAAATAGCAGATCACTGATCTGGAGCTGCTGTCAAATGGTTATTTTGGTGCTGGAAGGGTGTTGAATTGATCTGCAGCCTCCTGTGAACTGCTGCTTTGTGGTGCTTTGTTTTGCCTTGCTATTGGTGATGGAAGGGTGTAAATTGATTTGGTGTGTTATGATCTGATTGTGAGGGATGGGTGGAATTGGTTTGGGCTTTTGTCACTTCTGCTGCATGCTCACTTATAGTTAGTGATGTCCTTCAGTCAAAGTATCCCTGTTTTGCAGTTCTGATGGGAGCACAGTTTTGTAGGTCTGCAGTGTCTCATGCTGTCTTCAACACCACATGAGGCTTTGTGATGGAAGGGCCAATCCTGCTTCTCTCAATATATTTCTATTGTCCTATGTTGTTTTTAAGTATTTTGGAAAACCATCTTTGGCAATTGATGAACACAGACAATGCAGATTGTCTTGAAGGGGTGAAGGTTTGCTCTGCAGTGTTGGTGTGTTGCTGTATTCATTTCCTCACGAGGCTTTGTGCTGCTAGGGTCAGATTTGCTCTGCTCCTGCTGATTTTGGAAATCAATTATGAAGTGTGGAATGGATTTGCTGCTGCTGTCATTTAGGTGTTGCTGTCTTTTGGTATTTATGTTTTGTTTGTTTTGTTGGTTTCTCACCAACTAGGAGGTTGGAGCTTTCTTTAGCCCCAGGCTCCTCTTTATTGATGTTTTTGCCAATCATATGTAATTTATATGCGGTTCATCAATAAAGCTTTCTTTTGCTGATCAAAAAAAAAAAACATAAAGAATAATTTCTATGTACGCTTTATATATTTATCTACATGTTTTATTTTAATACATAACGATTAATTTCTATGTACGCTTTAGATATAGCTAGTATGTTTTGCTCGAGAGGTCTATTTGTTGTCAGGTCTAAAAAATGCATCCAATTACTTAAAAGTTGAGCCTTATATACACTCTCCTCCTCAGTTTAACTTCACTCTCTCTATATATTTCATTTTCTCCATTTACTCTCATCTCTCTCTGGAAACCTCCACCCACATCATTCATTTCCTTGATCTTTCCAAATCCATTGGGTTTCTCACCCTAGTGCCTTTATTAATATTTGAGAGCTCATCAAGGGTTACGTGGTATACGGTGGAGATCGAATTTTGACGCCGTAAATTTTGAAGCTCATCTTTTTTTCCCAAATCTTGAGGTATGGAATTTCTTTGAGTTATATATATGATTTTAACATGTCTAGTCTATCTTGCTATGATTTTGAATATAGGGTTTGAGTTTTGTAGAGTTGGGTTTTGACAATATTGAGGAAGTAGTTTTTCTTGTGAAGAAATTCAAAAAATTTTGTGAACTTATAAGACTTTTGGGAGTTCATGGGGACTAAAATCTTTGGAAAAATGAAGGAAAATTCTCTTTTGATCAAACCCTAGATTTTGAAAAAATTAAGGGAAAATGAATTTTGTGAAATGATTATATGTGAGTAATGAAATTCACATGATGTTGTGTTGTTTTGGATAACCATGGGACGGATAAATAATGTTGTTGAGAAATATTGAATAGCATGGAATGATATGAGCTTGGAATATGAAATGGTAATATATGTCGCATGGATTTTGTATTTTGACATGATTTTGAGAACTATAGAAATACTGTATTTCCCTTTGAAATGTGTTGACAATTATGAAAATTTGTACAACGAGATACATATATGTAATTACATCTCATTTCATTTATTTGCATAACTTTAAATATTGCTCATTGCGGCTACGTCTTGGAAATTGATTCATGGTTTTTAAGAAAAACAATTGTTATTATTGAAATGTTTTGGAGTAAATACATTTGGTAAGTCTAGATAGGGGGCATAGTTAGTATAGTTTAAGTTGGTCTAAGTGTCCACGGTGAAAGACAAAAAACACGCACGGAGGAAGTAATATGTACCTTCCGAGTAGGAACCGGTAAAGTGGAAGAACTGGTAGTGCTTATTATGTCTACTTGCTGATACCAACCTAAGGATTATCTGAGTTGTATTTACCACCCCATTGTTATTCTTGGAATGTTATTGAGATAACCAAAAAAAAAAATTTTGGAAGAACATTGCATGTATTTTGAAAAAAGAATGGAAAACTTGTGATTTTAAAGTATGGTATGCCATTGCATTCACGTATATAGACTGCTAAACATATATACTTTGTTAAGATCTTTCTACTGGGCTTGTACTCACCCCTAGTGGATTTGTGTAGGAAATGATGTGGTGATCCCGCTTAGTTGAAGGCATAGAAAGTCTTGAGAGCACGAGGCTCTTTTTCTTTTGTAATTATTTTGACATTCCAAGGGCTTAAAATGTATGGATTGACAACTATTTTTGTGTAACCAGGCTTAAACTTTGGAACTCGTAGCCTTTGGACATTTACCTTGTTGTTATTTCTTCTACCTTTAACTGTCACACATGCTATTGATTCATCATTTTAGAAGATTGAATATGCATTGTATATGGACACTTTTGTATACCTCTCTTATGAATGATATACTAATTGAGGGATTCAATTAATCGAATTAAGATCATTTAATGGATGGGATCATTAGATTCATTTTATGTCAATTATTCGGAGACATTACAGTTTTTATTGTTAGATTATATTGATTGATTGATTTAAATATTTTTTGAGTAAAGTTTTTATTTTGTAAAATTGTTTGTTCTATCGTAGATTCCGGGCACGATAGAAGCTTAGAATTCTCTGCGAATCAAATAACTATATTTTTATGGTATAATCAATCAATCAAAATAATCAATCTTTTGGGATATTATTTTTATAAAATAACTGTTTTATCTGCCGATTGGAAACACCCTTTATGTGATTTTCAGTTGAGTTATATAAATTGAATCAGAAATATTTTATAAATAAAATATTGGTGGTCAATCCTTAATGCCTTAGTATTTTCACATTATTGTTACTTCAAATTATTTTTAATCAATTATTTTCTAAAGTCATTCAAATTTGTTTTCAATCAATTCTATTTTATTTTATATTATTATCGATCACTTGTTTCTTTATTAGATTATAGCAATCCTTGTGGATTCGACATCAGACTAACTAAGACTACTTCGCGACAACCTATACTTGGGTATACACATTCAAAGTTGTAGCACTAGCCTTGTTTTACCTTTTTTTATCTAAATTTCTTATTTAATAACATTTTAAATTAAACACACATACTTACATATATATATTTATAATCAAATTAACCTAATACCTTAATTTATTATTATAAAAATTAATCATCAAACTACTTTAATCTAATTTTCAATTTTTAACCAAATTTTTTATTTAATAACATTTTAAAATAAACATAAACATACATACATACATACATATATATATATATATATTGCAAATTAAATCATAAATTAAACTCAACATCCTAATTTATTATCATAAAATTATCTTATTTAATAACATTTTAAATTAAACATATACATAGCGCGCACATATATAATAAATTAGATCATAAATTAACTTAAAATAACTTAATTTATTACCATAAAATTACCTTAATCTAATTTTTAATTTTTAACTCAATTTATTATTTAATAACATTTTAAATTAAACATGTACATATATATTTAACTAATTAAATCATAATTTAATTAAAATTAAAAATTAAGTTTATTAAAAAAAATATTTAGGTAACTCTAGTTTCTTAAATTAGTTGAATTGTGTTATGTTTTTAATTTTTTTGCTTAGTCATCGAGGTAAATTTATTTATTTATTTACAAAGACTCAAAAATAAAAGAAGATATGAAAGTTATAATTCTATTTTTATTGTTATCATTAACGGTGTTAAGGTTCACATCGAGCGTATATGACTACTTTTAAAAAATAGAAATGTAAAGTGCTATCGAACCATGAGTTAAAATGGATTTTGCCTTATTTTTTATCCTACTTCAATTGTTGAGTTGCAAAAAGTGTCATATTTTGTAAAAAGTAATTGTATATTATCTTGCAAATCATACTACTTGTGTGGACATTGTGTTCAATGAAACATTACAATATATGCCCTAGCTACAATTTCTTGGGTTATTTGATTATGACTTATTGAAGTTTTAATTATATCCTGATTATACACATTGTGATGTTAATTATAAATCATTGTGATGTTGGTTATGATATTATTTTAATTTATAATAAAAGAATTCTTTGGTTATAACATATGTAATGTTTAATTATAACTCATTTTATCACTCACTATAACGGATAAAGATGGTATATTTGTTTTGTAAAAATTAATAAAACATGATTAATAATGAAGTCACTCGAAATAAAAGTCCATTTTTAAAACATTAGAAACAATAAGGGTACATCGGTCGATATAGGATTAGCTTAAGTGCTTCATTGAACCGAGTTATAGCTTAGGTAGTCACTAGTAAAAGAATGAATCATTGTTGAAAGCAACAATTGATTATTTCTCTCCCAATATAAAAATTCTTTAATTCTACGAAATTTTTAACTTCTTTTCATTATGGTTTCTCTTGTTAGTTGTTGGGTTTGTAAATGTGTAATTGTCAAATTTTATGTAATTCTCTCCATATTTGTGAATAATTTCATGTCGATAGGCCAAACATAAAATGGATGAAATTCACAAAACATCAAAAACTAATCATTGCTGCAATATTAATTGATTATTGTATGTTTCCATGCCAAAATTTTTCACATTATAGCATTTATACATCATAAATAACGGTCAACCAAATAGGCCAAAGTACAACATATGCCCTGGAGATCAACTCTATGGGGGATTATAGTATGTTCTGATCGTGTCCTCGACCACTAATCCAAAAAAAAATTAAAACTAGCACTCTGTCCCTTCAAACCTGGAGTAACCTCAAATGTCGCGTAGTGTTGCAAACCCATAGAACCTCTTGTTGACAGTCTCACCAAAAGGCAAGTAAATAAAAGTATTCAACAACTTCAGAAACACAATGTACGTAAATTATACACATTTTCAAAAGGGAATGCGTTCCAGAATTGGGTTGGGTGTAGGTTGAACTGGGCGAAAAAGCCCTTGAATGATCTTCCTTGGAGAGAGCAGCTTTCCACTCCTTTCATCTGGGAATATTTATAATCCACAGAACATGTTGGAAACTTTTTATCACCCAAAGAAGGTAAAAACCACGTGTACCTTAATGAAGAGTGCATTCAAATTGTCTGGTCAGACGATAAGGTCCTGAAATTTGTCTAGTTGTTTCTCCAGCTTTCCATTTGAAGAAATGGTTGCTCCTCCATTTTCAGGGTTGTTCTTACGTATCTGGTTGTAAACCGAGTTTGGGATGGCAGAGCTGTGCTTGCCTTCAAAGTATGTGGAAAATGGGAAATACTCAGCACATTGCACCTTCCATCCTACATAAAAAAGGAATCAATATCAGCATTAGTACTAAAATTTTGAAGTTCATGACTAGTATTAAATTGTACAGAGAGTAGCAACATAGAATTCAAGAACGATGTGTCTTCAAGCCAAATTTCAATCAATCAAATACAATCAACTGTAAGATAGCTGCAAAATCATATTTCTTCATTTGCCCTTCTTTTTGAACTTCGATTTGAAGAATGGCAAGCTGGATGAAGACAATATTCAGAGTAAATTGTCTAGCCTTGGAAAAGCAATCAATAAAGTAAATTAAAGCCAATGTTCAGAGCTCTCAAGCTATTACCATATCAAAGTGATTGACTACCATCCAACTATTGGAGCAAATGATTACACAAAAGATTTGGGCTTACGACACGAGTGTATTCAGAACGTCAGTTCTGTTCTCTATCACTCAAGGGTAATTAAGAGTAGATCTTACTAAGTGACCAACCAAAAGGAATACAATGAAAATAAAGACCAAGAAATGGTACTAAGCACTAACCCATTGCATAAAGGGTACTGTCATCATATACATAAGGTGGGTCTAAGACACGAGAAAAAATATATAATTTTATATATTTATTATGTCATATATATAAATATTTTATTACAGAAAATATAATATTAATAACTAAAGTTAATATGGGATTTTTTTTTTAACAAGTTAAACTCTATTCAAAAAGTGCACCAAGGGGTGCACAACCCATATACAAAGAAGGTTCTATGTCAACTATGAAGCAAAAACAGATTCAAAGGCCTCTCTACAAAAGAAAGGATTATTAATTGATATAAATCCAAATATTTTTCCTTTATCATAGGATCTCAAGTTATTTAATGTCGGGAAGTTCATAACACTTGTTCGACAAATACATGCCACCTTAGAAGTGCAAGTGCTTCGCAGAGAGAGATTTTAGAACAAATTGGGTCAGATTTGATAAATAAATTCAACTAAAACGCCATATAGACAAATAATCAAGATGCCAAAGAATAAACAATCGACTAGTATGGCCCATTTGGCTTACATCAAATATCAGATTTGAGCCGTAAAGTTTTTGCATATTTAAACAAAGGTCCCTTAACATATAGTTATTGATGAAAGCTAGACACAATGTAGATATGATGTCATATATGAAGGTTTAGAAAAATGCAGAAGTAAGAATATTAAGTTGCAAGTGGCCTACCATGCTTAATGCCTTGATGGCATTTCTGCAAACACAACAAATCATTTCTTAAAGTAAGATAAATAGAATGAGTTATGGTGAGATGGCAAGGGGATAACACAGAAGACAGAATAAAATTGAGTACATTTATTGAGTGACAGAGGTTTAGGAAATTTAGAGATCCATCTAGGATGATTTGCACAGCCGTTTAGACCAAGAGTGAACAAAAAAGAAGGAATTCTCCAAATTTAAAAAGGAAGAAGGGAAGCTTACTGGAGCAGTAAAAGAAAATACAATGACACAATTTAGTAGAAGATGCCCAAAATAGAATTGACAGTTAAAAAAGCAGTCTTGTAAACGATCCCATGGGCATTGGTTAACAAAGTTTAAGATGGTTGTACATTTTTAAGGCATACTTTCATAAAGAATGTGAAGGGCGGGCCTAGTGTAGCGGTAAAGTTGGTTACCTGGAGGTCATGAGTTCGAATCGCGGAAACAGCCTCTCCGCTTGCGACGTTAAGGCTACGTACATCAACCCTTCCCTAGACCCCGCTTAAGTGGGAGTTTTGTGCACTGGGTACGCCCCCTTTTTTTTACTTTCATAAAGAATGTATGACTATTTGAAGCTTGTTAACAAATGTTGTTATGGCACTCGTTAACAAGATCCAAATAAGAATTCGTGTAGCTGATTTTATGTACTCATGAGATTTCATATCTTTGGTCGGGTCAAGAAAATTTTATTTCCACTTGAAGATACTACGAGTAAAACAGCATGAGGAAGACCAAAAAATAGAAAGGATAAAGCAAGGAGCATAATTATTATGGTCATTGTTATTTAATTTGACCAAAAAAGAGGAATGAGATGATGGATTCATGTAGCGAAGCCATATAATAGGTTCGTTTGTAGTAAGGCGTTATTGAGCATATAGTCATTCTCATTACCTAATCCCTACAAGAAGGATACAAGGCTCTGCTGAGTTAAGTTGTACTTACCAGCAAATGGTTAAACTGTTGCAGCAAAATGTGATGTGAGATTTGAGGTGTTTAACAAACTCCAGAAGCTTCTTTTCTCCATTTGTTCTTTTTGCTGTTCATTTTTAGAGATTTTTAGAAGTTCCATTGTATACTTAACTCTAATTGCTCAAACATTTCATCCCAAATTGGGGTGCTATAGAGATTTTGTATCTCTGCATATCTTTTGGGCCTACAAATATTATGATTATTAGATCTAAAATCCAATGATGGCTCTGCTTAATTACTAACGCTAATTATTCTCTATTTTTTATGTATTAAGCAAGTAGTTTCATACTACCAACAAACTTCACATAGATAATTATATAATGACGATTAGCAATCATTAAATAAACCTACAAAAGTTGTTCATGGAAAGAATGTAACAATGAGATTATATTACACATCTCAATTCATATTGCAGACTTACTGAGTGCAGCTTCGTGGTCATCCAAAACTGTCCCAAGGAGTTCGTGAACTGCAATGCAATCTTTGAGTTTCCACTCCCTGACTGGTCCAAGTGCTCCATTTCTAATTTAATGAAACATGCAGGATTAATGTTCAATGTATTGTTTAAATGTATACAAGCAAACTGACATGCAACATAACAATTGAACACAAGTTTAATGAGCTTAATTTACTGGGAGGCATTACGTTGAAAGCAGGTTGTTGGATGAATCTTCTATTAATTTGATAGCCTCAGCCTTCTTGCTACAATCCAAAACATTTAACATATCCGCTACTGCTGCTCTATGCATCAAGGAATCTGCAAAATGAAAGCCAACATGAAATATTATAATATGAAATGTTGTTCATGCATGTGTAAATTAGATAAGTTAAATGATGACCTTCATGCTTTTCAAGGAAAAAGATGTTTGCCTCAATGAGAGATTTTTCATGCAACTGACTGCAGAAAAAATCAAATCAAATAGAATCAAGCCATTACTACAGATTATCATGTGATCAAAAAAGGAAAAAACAAAAAGTATCCAAGAGAACCTTAAAGTAGGTCTCTCTGCTTCTAAGACAGCCCAAATGAGTTTCTCTGTGTCAGACACTGGAGCAGGCATAGCCCCCACTTTATTGAAAAATCTTATCTGCAAAAAAAAATAAAGTCTACATTCACCACATGCAGGTAGCAAGGGTGGAGGAAGGGACCTTCGGATAAAATGTGCATGTGCAGTTGTATTGTAAAATTGTAAAAGATATTAGCCCATACATATTCAATGGGTTAATGGGAGAGACGCATACCAAGCAGCGATGTGAGTCTGGGTTTTCAGCATCCAACCGTAGAAGTTGCTTCAAAGCCTTCAGGGAAAAGAAAAAAAAAAAATTTTAAAATGCATTCAACCACTTCATAAAATAGCAGGACATATATACCTTTTAGCTACAAGGCAGAGACTACAAGTATATAAAGTGCATCCCAACTTCATTTATAGACAATTTCAAGATGTTTTAATAATTCACCAGCCTCTACATACTAGGTGGAACATGTTCCGGATGGTGAACAAATTAAATGACTATTGGTTTCAGGTCTTTAACAAAATTGATTGCTATTACCTTTAGTTGATACCTTTTAGCTACAAGGCAGAGACTACCAGTATATAAAGTAAATCCCAACTTCATTTATAGACAATTTCAAGATGTTTTAATAATTCACCAGCCTCTACATACTAGGTGGAACATGTTCCGGATGGTGAACAAATTAAATGACTATTGGTTTCAGGTCTTTAACAAAATTGATTGCTATTACCTTTAGTTGACATAGTACAACCAAGGTACATGATGCCTGATGAATTTTTTTTTTTAAATAAAAAAAAGTCTTATAAGTTCCAAAATAGATGTACAACTCACCTGAAATGCAAGCAAAATTTTTTGTTTTCTCATATTTAGTTCAAAAGCAAACAGGTGTGTCTCTAAGGAATCAGGTGAGTGCTTCTGAAGCAGCTTCAAGTACTTTGTAGCTTCCAACAATGGATCTTCAACCTACATGATCAATATACCCAAGTTAACAGATGCTGTCTACATTAAAACATAAGAGATGATCTCAAAGAAGACCCACAAACTCCAGAAGCCGTCAGAAACCTGATGCTAAACAATAGAAACTAAAAGATACATGATGCACAAAAAACCTGCAACAACTTATCCCCATTTGGATCAAGATCTACTGGTTTGACATGTCGTTTTCCAGACTTAGAGACGCCACTAAAATTTGATTCTTCATTTTTCACTTCTGCCTCCTAAGCAAAGGAAGAAAATTAGGATGCAAGTAATTCAGGCAGGAAAAAAAATTTACAAGATACTAGAGAAACAAAACTGAAGTACTTTCTTAGCTCGAGCTTCTGCTTTTTTCTGCTTTTGCCTCATTTTCTTCTTCTGAGAAGCAGGCAACTTTGATATTTCATCATCTTCTTCAGCTGATGACTTTGGAGGTGAATCATAAAGTTTTATATAGCACCTGCACCACAATTTAGATAATCATCAATGCGCAGACAGAACAAGAACCAAGTTTCAAGTGATCAATGAATGGCGAATATTATGACTGAACAAGAGTAGCACTACTGTGATGGAGTCAAGGGAACCAAACATCTCAGTCTATAATCCAAAATCTCGTTAGCAAGCACATTGACATCCACAAAGTAGTGGAAAGGGGAAGAAAACGCATCATCGAAAATCATTTGAAGTCTCATTGGTTGAACATAAAAAAGAGCTTCACCTGATAGCTCCAGCTGCTGCTTTGCGAAAATATTCATGTGAATGCAGTCTATCTTGAAATTTCAGCATTTCTACGTAGGTTCGTAGAGTCATCTTTCTTAAGCAATAAGAGTGGAAATCAAATTGGTCTTCAGTTATATCTGCATAATGCTTCTCCACAGCTAAGAATTTTTTCAAAGCTCGTCCAAGGTCACCTTGGCGGAAGTAACTTTCTCCAGAAGCAAGTTCATACCTTCCAAAGATTGATATTTTAACAGAATTACAAGGTGCAACTAAATTGCAAAAAATGCTTTTCTACACCAAAAACAAAAAGTATGGGGCTCCAAGACAGACGCACCACATACACTGCATATCATGAAGGTTGTTGTGTTGTTCTCCTTCTTTTGTGAACAAAACAGCTGTCTTCTCTGCTAATGCCACCTTCGAACAGAGAAAGTTCCATATGAAAACATAATCACTTTACAGAGTACAAGGGAAAAACAAAAAATATGAGATAAATGACCGTATATGAATATTGTTCTTAATGTAGAGAAGAACATAAAAATGCAGCTCAGTAACCTGATCAGCCTCCAGCATACGCTTAACACATTCACTATTTACATAGCGATCCGCAAGATCCATACACCTAGCTTCATCTGCCAGTGCAGCAGCAGCTACCAAGTCACCAGCATGTTTCAATATCCGGCCCTATGATCAAAGCAACATTAGTATTTTTCAGCAGAAGCAGGACAACTAATCGTAAAATATCTTGGAAGTTATTCTTCTTTATAGCGTATGGCATTTCAATCAAACTGGGAGATCATTTCTCGCATATAGAAGACAAATTTCAGATAACACTACTACCATAACCCTATAATAGGAAATAAATGAATAAAACCAAACCAAAACCACAAATGTCAATAATGCTGTGCTATATGGACTCTTCTATTCCCCCCACAATATCCGTGCCCACCGGATATGACATGGGCAAGGGTGTGGGATATGTGTCCGACACTCGTACCCAATTTAGACACTTGGATCCTTTAATTTGTTACAATATATGAGAAGAAGAAACTCACAATTGCTAGCAAAGCAACATTTTTAGCCTCTGACATTAGTTTGATATAGAAATTTCATTTTTTTCTTGAATCCTATTCAATGTCAAGTATATTTCTATATAATTTACAACATTCATCTGAGAATATTATAAAATATGCAATATATGTGTATATGACACATCCCCATACCCATATCCATTTTGGATACATATCTCAAGATCCTAAAATTTAAATTTATGAAGATCTGATGCTTCGATACAAACCCGCACTCGATGCTCATATCCAAGTCCATAATGTATATGAAACAACTATAGATGAATTCCAAAAGTTACTAATATTTGTAGACCTTGACTGAGTATAAATCAATCACAGTTGGAGTGTGTTCAATAGCCTCATCAATTTTCTCTAAAGCAATATCATATTGGCCCCGCCTGTCATAATGCTGCACAACAAAATATTTAAGTCACGAAATGAAATTAAAATGGAATAAAAACCTTAAAAGAAGCACAGTAAACGCCGACTAATAAATCAAATGACTACTATAAACCTGAGCCAAATAGAACAAAATCCACAACTGAGTCGAAGGGGGCTCCTTCTCTGTCCTGCACACCAGTAGTAATTCAAGCATATAGCAAGTGACTACAGAAAACTGTGTCAACTGTCGACATAATACCAATTTCATACATAAAATAGCACATCCAACAGAGTCAGTTACCTCACTTGTTTCATATGTGTAACAACCTACCAGATCAAGAGAACACAGGAGAACTAATAGTGCCAAAAAATTTAAGCTATGTTTGGATCTAGGATTTTGGTGAGAGAAAAGAAAATGAAAACAAAATGAAATTACTTGTACTTGTTTACATTTACATGTAAACAAACAAAAAAAAATGAATTTTTTTAAAAAATGCCATTTTATTTTATTAGTCCAACCATAAATTTGTTTGGTTTTGATGTTTTCAAAAACAGTTTTCTGAGTTTCAATACATTTTTTTTAGTGAATTTTTTTAACATTTTAATCAATTTTTTTACTTTTTACATTCACTTAATCTAGATATACTTAAAAAGTACAAAACTTGTACAAAATTTTTTTAAAAATTCAATCAATGTAACAAAATATGAAAATATACTAATTTTTTGTAATTTTTTTGTATTGAATGAATTTTTGAAAAAAAAATTGCACAGATTTTGTACTTTTTTAAGAGTATCTAGATTAAGTGAATCTAAAAACTATAAAATAATAATAATAATAATTTGATTAAAATATTAAAAACATTCACTAAATATAAAAAAATAAGAATTGAAAATTTAGAAAACTATTTTTGAAACTCCAAACCAAACAAAGTCTGCACAGGCACACTTATTCAAGAGCTGAGCAGATATAAGTCTTACCTCCCAGGGTATCCACCAGTAGTCTTAATTGAATGCTCCAACTCAAGAATCAGTTGCTCTAGAATGTCTGCCTGAATAAGAGATACAAAAGCTAGATAGATATAACTAATGAAACAAAATATTCACCAAAAAACCTACAAAAAAGTCTACAACTTCCATAGAGGTTTTCCTCCATGTCTTTATCAGATCATTTGAAATGACTGCACAAACCTTTCCAGGATGATCATACAAAGGAGAGAGATCGGAGAATAATGAAGGAACTCCCTATATGCATCACAAATGGTAGATGTAAGTCTTGCTTCCTTATAACCAAGCCTAACCAAAGTAACACAAAATATAAAAAACAAAAACTAAAAACTAAGAATACCTTCATCAGGAGAGGCCTAACGTAATTATGTGCTGCCTCCTGGAACTTTTTGCCATTTAAAAAATCAAGAGGTATTCTCTGACAAAAAGGGGGGAAAGAAGTTCAGTCTAAGTCCTGGAAACTACTCGTACAAAATAAAGAAACTAAGTACAAAATCAAAATTAGTTCCCATTTCCTACGGACATAAGATAATACATAAGAATTGTTTACATGCATGAAGTGTCAGACTAAACAATAACCAAAAACCAGCTAATGAGCTATAATAAAGGCATGTACAATGGTAAACCAGAGTCAAAATGCTTTAACAGATTCATGAACTCCTCAAACAAATAACTAGCAATTCCTTTTTCTGTTGCAGACTGATTTCCTACTGACACAAATTAATAGATAAGAATTGTTTACATGCATGAAGTGTCAGTCAGACTAAACAATAACCAAAAAGCTGCGAATGAGCTATAATAAAGGAATGCCTAGATAAGTGGCCATTGGTTGCAATAAGAGCAACTTAGTGATTTGTTAATTGTGACATTAAAACTCCATAAGATTTTCCAATGTATCAATAAATTAATTTTCCATTTTGAAAAAAGGGGTTGAAGGATGTGTCACCTTTACAGCAGATGACCGACTGTATTGCTGCCCAAGCGATTTGTACAAGGCATCCAACTGATCAATTTCGTCAGATGAGTACTGGTGACTTTCTGATAGTAGACCCACACACTTCTGTAGTCCTTCATAATAACTAATGACAGACAATGAAAGAAAGATAATAGTAGTTATCACTTCTAACAATCAAGTAATACAAAGCAAAAGAGTACCCTTTCCCCTCTTTCTCTGTTCAAAAGAATCAACAAAGGTGTATTTAATATTTATAAACGTGTGCTTGTGAAAGGGGATGAAATAGCATTTTTTTATTCTCAAAAGCCAAACAATAAAAATAAAAAAAAATAAAAAATGAGAGAGAGAGAGAGAGAGAGAGAGAGAGAGTTAGAGTTGATTAAGTAAAACCATAGACAAACAACCAAACACAAAATGCCACATTTAGGAAAAATAATATTGGGTTCTGTGTTCACTGCGTGACAAATATACGCAGCACAAAATTTATTGGTTTCTAAGAATAAAGGCAAGACATAATTTACAACATAAAATCCACAGGTGAGTGCTTCATATTAGAATGAAAATATAATAGAATAAAAGAAATGTCACTGATCATATCATCCAACCATTTTTCATAGCACAAGTTGACAAAATAATAAAATTTTGACAACCACAATGTAAGAACTAAATTTGGGGACCTCGATAGTAGTTCCAATAGATTTTGGTATAAAATTATTATACTCCTAACCAATTACTTGGCACACCAAATTCCTTTCTATTTGAGGTTTTCCTGCACAAATTTTGTTCCTTACACATGCAAACCAGATAGTCACATGAAAATGAGTAGACAAAAGCATTCATATGCAAAGAAGACATCCAATAGGGTCCGCATATCCTCCACATACCAACCTCAACTCTACTTGCACAATGAATTCTAAGATTGGGCTTGATGTAAACACCGCGTCAAACCATACTTTTAGTTGCAGAAAATAAGCATAGTTGCAGAGGAATGTTTTTATGTTGGTATTAGTGCCAACTCCGCAGTGTCAGCATAAAACAAATGGTTCGTGCTGGCTTCCTCAAATCTTTCAACTTCTAAATACAAATATAAATTCATCTAAAGCACCAAAACTGATAACATCGACAGATAATGTTTTGTAGAAGCCAATTTTCATCAGTTGAGTGAATTAAATAAATAAATAAATAAAAGATTACATAATGTTTGCAACATGAACATTTGGTTAGTTACTTAGATGGTCATAGTTACAAACACATAATCAATTACCAGTAATTGTCCGGGTTCATGGAAAGCAGCATTCTCCACAACTTTTCACCTTCTTCTACGTGACCAACCTTCACAAGGAGCGAAACTTCCTGTTCCTTGTAGGATAGTTTATCAAACTATGAAGACAAGTTCCAAAATAAGTTTAACATCAGAGGTCAGAGTAAACAAATTCTCTTATACAACTAGACTAGCAAACTATATTAGAACACTTACAATTTTAGACTCTTTCTTGTGCAACTCCTCAAGAGCTTTCTCAAGAAGACCACATTCTTCCATTAAAGAAATCTGGAGGAGAATATCCAGGGAAATAACCATCAAAAGAGGATAATTACATATCTACCAATCTGATTTGTTGTCTCATGTAAACCAGCACCCCTTATTGGAAAGAAAAGCGAGAGGGGTAAAGCCCACTTACACATGTGGCACACGCAAAAGAAAAAATAAAAATAAAACTCACAGATTAAGGAAAAGTTCAACACTACTATTTCTCTTCTAATTTTAAAATAATACATGAGGGCCTCTTCTAGTGTCTCTATCCTTTTGTTAATGACCTTAATCCACAAACCAAAAAGCAACTCAAAAGTTGACCAAGGAATAAAACAGTAGTTCAGAGAGTTGTAGAGGAAAGGTGACAACTGTGTCACCACCCAACAATGAAGAATAACATTATAGGACTTGATTTTGCAATGGGCATGTGCCAAAACTCTCACCACTGACCCTTTTCCAACTCTGCTTCATATTAAGGACCTATTTAATATAGTGACTTCTAGTGAACTCTCAGGCTTTAGTCTGTTTAATGTACAATAATATCACATCCAGTAACTGAAATTTAAGTGCAAATGTATATTTATATGTATCTATGTCTGCACATGCCACATCTTGTGCACATATATGAAAAAACGTTAAGTCTATGGCAAGGTTGTTAAAATCGGGATCCTAAGTTGGATCGTTGGAGGTGTTTATAGGATCGGATCGTAGAATCGAATCGAGGATCGTAAGATCCTACCGAAAAAGACAAATTACATAATAATTTAATTTAAATAAACATTTCTTATAAAGTATATATAAAATGAACCTATATTTTATTAAAAAGAAGTGAAGATATTGTGAAAAATATAATACTCCATGTAAAATGTACATATAATATTATGCAATAGAAAACTCGATGGTAAAAGTTCTGTATTTTATCAAAACAGAAGGTGAAGAAGAAGAAGAAGAATTCTATAATAAAATAGTTTACAATGTACAATAATGCATAAAAAGTGAAGAAAAAATATTTAACAAAATTGGATATGAAAATAGATTAAGAACTCAAAAGAGTAGCTTAGTCGAATGATAAGGTTTGTCGTTAGCATCCCTGGCGGAGCGGATTCGAGTCACAAAAATAATTTCTCCAGAAATTGGGATAAAGTTGCAATCATCTTACCCTTCTTAGACTCTGCTAAAGCTAAGTTTGTTTTTCCGACTATTTAATTTTCTTAAATTACCGCAATATTTGAATGTTTGTTTCCTAGTTTGTTTTTCTTATTTGATTCAATACTACTTAATTTTTATTATTTATTTTGACAACATAAATTGGTATTTAGACAACAAACATAAAATTTACAACAAAATATGTCATACAATACAAAACAAGGCTTGTAAATTGGATCGGATAGGATCGGATTCGGATCGGGATTCCACGATCCTATAAGATCTCACTACCAGGATCGAAAGATCCTACCTATAAGGAGTTTTTTACACAATCCGAATCGATTGTACTCAGATGGATCGTAAGATCGTAGGATCGTAAGATCCGGATCGGGATTCTGATAACCATGGTCTATGGTAATATGCTGACATGAAACACCCCATAGGAGGGGGAAGAAATAGTCAGGCATCCGAGAGAAATATACTATTCACTGTGTATCATAATTATTACCTTGTATAACAGCATTTCCCCATGCTCACAACGTTCATTATCTGGAGGGTAATCGTCATCAAGTGTCCCTTCATATGCGTCAAGGATATCAATTGCTTTTGAAGCACTAGCAAATAAACCAAAGAAAAGAAGTAACTAATTACTCCAGGACCAAAATGAGAGATCAAATTTTAGTTTCAAGTTTCAACAATATATAACTAACAATTAGATGTGGTACAGTGTTGGCACTATCTGACTTATTTAATCAAGCATGCAACTACCATAAACCAAACCAAATTAAGCCTTGTATTCCAATCAAGTAGGGTCTGCTACATGAATAATTTTTCATCATTCCACACTGTCAAAGGCTATATGCTCAGTTAAATCAAATAAATTCAAATTCATATCTTTGTTTTTTTTTTTTTTTTACAAACGCAATCCATGTAAGTTTAGGTCTTCCCCTCCCCCTAATATTCCCATTTATGGTGATTATATCATTCTTCCTTATTATTGCATCTACAAGTCGTCATTGTATATGACCAAACAATAGTTGCGCGAAGCGAGAGCAGTGCCGTGGCGGGAGAGCAAGGGCCCTATAAAAGAGTTTAAAAAAGGGGGAGGGGAAGGGGGAGGGACACACCACACAATGACAGGAGAATCCATGCCGATGCCCCCACAATATCTTGATCCTCTTGGTTTCTCTTTGTAGCAGATAGGCAAGTTGACACTCTATTTTGTCGAAAAAAATTTGCTCAGGAAAAGTTACTTTTAACTGTGAAGATAATTTCTTTTAGCAATCCCCTCGAAGCTAATTAAAGAGACATAATAATTTTCTTCTTCAAGGTGCAAGGAAATTTACTTGTATAAATGAATGGAGTAATGTTGTTAATTATGGCTTCATTTTTGTAGGCTTCTTCAGAGATTATGGAGTAGATGGTTCTTGGGGGTGTTTGGTAAAACTTTTTTTTCAACTTAAATAAGCTTTTGGCTTAAATTAAGCTATATTAGTGTGTTTGGTAAAACTTATAAGGCACAGATTATGGCTTAATTTAAGCCATTTTCGGCTTAAATGTAAACGTTGCTCCAAGTAAGGTTGTTAAAATCGGGATCCTACGTTGGATCGTTGGAGGTGTTTATAGGATCGGATCGTAGAATCGAATCGAGGATCGTAAGATCCTACCGAAAAAGACAAATTACATAATAATTTAATTTAAATAAACATTTCTTATAAAGTATATATAAAATGAACCTATATTTTATTAAAAAGAAGTGAAGATATTGTGAAAAATATAATACTCCATGTAAAATGTACATATAATATTATGCAATAGAAAACTCGATGGTAAAAGTTCTGTATTTTATCAAAACAGAAGGTGAAGAAGAAGAAGAAGAATTCTATAATAAAATAGTTTACAATGTACAATAATGCATAAAAAGTGAAGAAAAAATATTTAACAAAATTGGATATGAAAATAGATTAAGAACTCAAAAGAGTAGCTTAGTCGAATGATAAGGTTTGTCGTTAGCATCCCTGGTGGAGCGGATTCGAGTCACAAAAAATAATTTCTCCAGAAATTGGGATAAAGTTACAATCATCTTACCCTTCTTAGACTCTGCTAAAGCTAAGTTTGTTTTTTCGACTATTTAATTTTCTTAAATTACCGCAATATTTAAATGTTTGTTTCTTAGTTTGATTTTCTTAGTCTATTTGATTCAATACTACTTAATTTTTATTATTTATTTTGACGACATAAATTGGTATTTAGACAACAAACATAAAATTTACAACAAAATATGTCATACAATACAAAACAAGGCTTATAAATTGGATCGGATTCGGATCGGGATTCCACGATCCTATAAGATCCCACTACTAGGATCGAAAGATCCTATCTACAAAGAGTTTTTTACATGATCCGGATCGATTGTACTCAAATGGATCGTAAGATCGTAAGATTGTAAGATCCGGATCGAGATTCTGATAACCATGGTTGAAAGCAAATTTAGAATTACTTTTCATCAAAACGAGATTTTATTCTTGTTAGGTTTTATTTCTTGGCAATCCCGTATGACAAAACTCCTTTCAGTTGTATTTATTTTCGCACTTTTATTTCAGTAAGGCTATGAGTGTTTAGATGCGAATCCAACCCGAATTGTGCCTTTTAGAGAAGTTTGTGATGATAAGGGGGCAGGGCAGGCATAAGGTTCCAAAGTGAGGAGCAAGGTTCCCATAGGAGTTTCTAGCTACTACGGACCAGACCAACTTAGTTGGGTCTCTCTCAACTTATCTTCAATTGATATTATTATTTCACAAATATGTTTATTTCTAATTATGCCTTTCCCAGTCTTAATACACATCCATCTACACATCCTCATCTCAATTACACATTTTTTTTTTTTTGTATTAACAAGAATTTATAACCAAGTGTTATCCGCAAAACTACAAAGTACAATCTAAAATAAATACCTGTTTACCACAAAGATTAAGAAAAATCAACTCCTCGAATAAATATAAAGAACATCTTATTGAAAAAAACCAGCTATCACAATGGCAATCATCATCAAGTGATAAGTTTACCCAATTTTGGTGAGGTATTACCATGCTTTACCTTCAGAGAGATAATTGCAGCCTTTAAACCATAATTCACGGCATGACTTTTCACAAGTGTAAGGACACTGTCCGAACTCCACTATCCTCAATGTCACAGGCATAAGTCTCTTAAAAGGTTCAAAACTGTATAAGAACCCACCAAGCACAGGTATCTTATACCCAAGTGGCACCCCTTACCCCACTGATGGAGGATTGTGACATTATGATGGAGCCTTACTTGCTAAGAAGCACGGACACTTCTAAGAAGGTGACGTATCCGTGTCGGACACCAACACTCTTTGGACACTTCCCCAACACGTGTCTGACACTCCTCAAAACGTGTACTGTTTGGTAATTTTTCTTAAAGTTCCGAAAACTCTTTGGACACTTGGAAGACACGTGTTTATCGCTTAAGCACACGTGTCTATCAATTAGACACAAGTGAAACTAATTATAAGTATGAACAAAACAACTTAAGTTACAAAATAAAACAAAAACCATATAAATTTATAAGAATTAGTGTCATATTGCATTTTTCCTTATCTTTGAATGATATATCCATATATATAACATATAATAAATATGTAGAATTATACATTTTGTGCGTGTTCCCCACATGTCGTGTCCTGCATTTTTTGAAAATTAGCATGTCCGTGTCGTATCCGTGTCCGATCCGTGTCCATGCTTCTTAGCTTACTTGTTTTTATATGTTTTCTATGATCAAGAAAAAATTGTATATGCTATCAGTTTTTAGTTGATTCTTTTTCCATCAAACAGTAATTTGATTTCATTCACCCAATATTTTGTACTGCTTTTGTGTGTGTTTTTCCACTAACAACAAAAGTAAAAATATTATTAAACGAATGATAACACCAAAACAAGATACCTGAGGTCAAGGAGTCCCCCAAAGAATGAAAAAACAAACAAAATTCTACCTACACTGCACATACTACCCTCCAACCACTTGAAATCAAAAAGAAGGGAATCCTTCTAAAAGAAGAAGAAACTAAGGCCCAAAAAGATGATAAAAAGCAAACCCTATCCCACCAGGAATCAATGTCCACCATCTTGTCCTCGAAAATTATCGTGTTTTGTTCCAACTAAATGACTAAAAAAAATTGTGAAAAAACACAGCCCCACAATACTTTTGCCTTCTTGTTTCTCCCAAAACCCCGAAAATCCATCAAGAGCAATTGGAAACAAGAATTTGGAGCCACCCAACAGATCTCCACCATAGTGAATAACCTGTTCCACAAAGACAGCCATAGTGCAATGCAAGCATAAATGATCCAGATATTCTTCCACCCTTTTACACATGATACGCCATTGAGGACAAAAACTGCAATTAGGGCTCCAAGTTTAGAAGACATCATTAGTCATGAGACTTCTATAAGTCAATGTCCACAAAAACACCTTGAAGTTCAGAGGCACAACCATCCTTTCACAATGAGGAAAGGGAGGAACAATTGGATTACCAATAACAGAGGCCAACAAAGACTTTCATGAGAAAAGCCTGATGATTAGGGTAACCACGCCCGCTTATCATGAACGTATGGACTCAAGAAAAAATATCAAGAATGGCCAATAAAAATGCCAATTCACAAACTTCACAATATTAAGATTTCTAAAAAAGTAAAGTTTCAAGATGTCAGAGCTGAAAATAAAATAACCATGGAAGCAATGCACACGTGTGGAGATCGAACCAAACAATACAAGGGTGGGAAAAACATCAAAGGACGTGTCACCCACCCAAACTTCCTCTCAAAATCGAATAATTTCACCATTTTCCACTTTAAATGATAAAAAACAAGAAATGAGAGGAAGAATAGCAGAAATAGATTTCCAAGAAGAGCGATAGTTGCCACGATTAGCCACAAGAATCCCAACCCTGTATTTGCTCTAATTTCGAACACCACCTAAGTGACTTCCCCCCACCCCCTCTTCCTTATTCCTTGGGCGAGAGACTGTCAACCAATTAACCAAATGACCCATTTCCCTTCATTTGAACATTCCCACAAAAAGTCCCTCATCATTTTTTCAATTTTGTTTGCAAATCCCACCAGAGTCTTGAACAATGACAAATAATAGCTTGGGATATTGCACAAACCAAACTGCTGAAAAATGCCTAAATCCTCTAGAGAACAAGGCTCAGCTCCACCCTACCAGTTTTTTACCAATCTTCACTAAAACTGGAGCCCAAAAAGATCCCACCCTATGATTATTCCCCAAAGGAAGCCCCAAGGATAAAGAGAAGATGAGCAACAGAACATCCTAAGGTACCTGCCGCCCTTTGTAAGTAATTAGGCTAAAGATTAATAACCACAATGGAGCTATTACTCAGATTAACTCCAGGGCTCGAAATCATTTCAAAAACTCTCAAAATTGTAAGCAAGTTCACTATCTTAGATTTCTCCCCTGAGAAAAAGACAGTATCATCAGTAAATTCTAAACAAAACACCTAAACATGATTTCTCCCAATAACAAGACTAACCTCCTTTTCCCTATCAACGATCCACCACATAACATTAACAACAAATGTGAAGAGGGGGCAACCTGGGCAACCTTGCCTAAGGCCCCTAGACACGTTGAACCTTTTCCCAACCTTGCCACTTACAAAGAAAGACAAATTACAAGATAACAAACACCCGTGAATCCATCTCCTCCATCTCTCTCCAAGTCCCCTTTTTTGCAACACAAAATTCAAGAAGTCTTGTCCATGTGGTCATAAGCTTTCTCAAAGTCCACTTTAAAGATAAGACCTTCCTTATTAGACCCTTTATATTCTTCCACTACCTCATTTGCAATTATGACAACATTCAAGATATGATGTCCCTCCACAAAAGCTCCCTAAACTAACGAAATAGTGTCACCTAAAACTACTCGTAATCTTCATACAAAACCTTTCCCAAATTTTTATATAAATATGTAGCCAAGCAAATGGGGCTAAAATCACTAAATTCAAGGGTTTCTCTTTTGGGGGGATTCAGTAGATAAAGGAAGCATTAGTACAAGCGTCCACTTCATTTTCAAAGAATTCCTCAAAAACCTTGATCAAGTCGTTCTTAACAACTTCTCAACAATTTGAAAGACGGACATAGAAAATCCGTCCAGACCCAGGAATATATCTCTTTCACAATCAAAAACCATCTAATCTCCATTTTATCGTAAGGCCTCTCCAACCACCCAAATTAAGCCATTTCAATCAGGGCCCAATCCAATTCAATCCATCAATACCAAGCCTCACAACCCTCTATTCGAATACAAATTTGAGAAACAATTAAAGATTCACCAACAATTTGCTCCTTCCTATCTGCAAAACATCTAGTACCCACCTCTAATATCTTTATAAATTTCTTTTTCCTCTTTCCAACTACAACCTTCTGAAATAGCTTAGAGCTAATATCACCCTCCTTAATCCATTTCATTTTGGCTTTTTGACCCCAGAAAATTTGTTCTCTAAACACAATTGCCTCCAATTTCATCTTCAAATTGACTCTAAATTTTCTCAAAAGTTCACCAAGGCCCCCCTAGCCTCAAGGCCATCCAACTCTTCAATCTTTTAATGATCTCATTTTCAACCCCAGTCAAATCCCCAAAAACCTCCTTATTTCAAATTTTTTTATTTCTCCTTAAATTAGCTTCAATTTCTTCAAGAACTTAAATCACTCCCATCCATGACCATTCCAACTAGCCCACCATTCCTTAAAGAATTTTCCTAAATGAGTGGTGTTCCAACCACATGTTCTCAAACATCAAAGAAGCGGGACCCCATTTAAAAGGACAATTCTCGAAATCACCAGGCAATGATCTAATGCAACTCTAGAAAGAAATTCCTCCTTAAGATTTAGAAATCTTTCCTCCCGCCCAAAAAAGAAAAAAAATAATAAGAGCTGAAACATACTAGTCATATTCAAATCCATGATCCTATATTGGGCATACGAATAACAAAGAGCTAAAGCACAAGAATAATATGTTACAGCATATGAATAACAAAGTACTAACAAAAAAGAAATATAAAGCATACTTTGAATTCAAATGGTGGGAAACAGCAAATCCGATCCAATTCATGCGATGATTTGGTTTCAGAGTCAACAATTGTTGCCTTGTTTCAACAAAACCTGCCAAGTCACGCATTTGTGCCTGTAATAGGAGGCAAAAAATTGAGATGTTATTTATCAAATGCTCCACATGATGACATAAGAGTTATTGTGTTTGTGAATTAAAAATAAAAAATAAAAGAAGAACACCAACAACAACAACAACAAAAGAAGAAATGTAGAACAAAATGAACAAGCATGATTGTTGCATTTTAATTTCTTCTCACAATTTTAAGATATGCAAGAGACAAATCAAACAGCCACAAAATGACAACACTCACTGAGGTTAATGGCAGACCGTACATGGTTTTGTACCTTAGCCACGGACAATAACTGAGAAAAGGTAATTTTCAATTAAAAGTGGGCACATAATAAAGTTTGTAGAACACAGACAGGAGCTGGGTCCAGGGCAGTTCAAAACACCTCAAGAAAGTTCTTAAGGAGTCATTTAAATTTTAATAGCAACAATTTTCATCACCAAACTGAGGAAGACCATGAATATACAGGAACAGGAATCACACTGGCATTCGTAAGGCACCTCCATCTAAGCTGAATGACATTGATGGTTGCTGAGTATGTATTGCCACTTCACAATCAAATCATTTCTAGAAGTTTTTTGGAAGGCATTGATGAGTACATTCCCAGAACTAAAAAAAGAAATTGACTATGACCATCTAATCTCAATAATCAGGTTATTTGAAGCCAAGCGTTTTTCGTTTAACTTTAAGAATGTTTATGATCTTGTTCTGCATTGAATCCTTCCTCACAATATATCCATGGTCATTTTATTTTCATATTTTGTTAGATTATTACATATTCCAAGTGCAGCCACATTAATCGACTGCCGAGGTCACAACATATGAAAATTCTCCTTCTGATGTCTTGTTAGCTATATCTGAAAGAAAAGGAATGTGGCTTTAAGAGAAAAGAAAAGGCTTCTCGTATGGGACCTATTTTGTGTTCCAGAATTCGCATGATTCAGGTGTAGCTTTTTCGCTGTCAGATCTTTAGAGACCATTAGAGAATGCTGGCCTGTGTTCATATTTCATACTCTTGTACACAATTCAGTTACCATTATTATTCATTTGTAATTTAAGTAGAAAGTGAGGTGGAGTACTGAAAATAAGAGAAAAATGTTTGTGTTTAAAATACTGATGATTATTTTGTGGTTAGTGGGTTTTGAGGCTGACTTTGAATTGATAATAAGAAGAATGAACAGGTTTCAGATGATGCCTGAGAACAGCATTTATGTTTCAAAATAAGCCAACATAAGTAACCCCAATAACTGAAAGCATGAGAAATAACAAAGACATTCAAATTATCAAGTTGTTAAGATTGATAACAAAGAAACAAGATCGATTCTGTTTTATAATTAAAGTTCTCCATATCAAAAAAACATATTAAGCACTGACACTCAATTCAGAAATCATCTGGTGTGTTTGGTTTGTGTTTGTAGAGTAGTTTTTGAGATAAAAAGTACGAAAACTTGTTTGGTTTGTCTTTTTTCAGAAATGGTTTTGGAAAATTGTTTTGAGGAGAGAATTTTAAAAAACGTGATTGATTTGATGTGTATGAGAGAGAGAGTGAATTTGGAAAGTAAGTAACCAAACAAAATTTTGAGATTTTTTTTGGAAAAACTTGTTTGGTTTGATTACTCTTGAAAATTTGTTCGTAGAGAATTTTTTCCAAAATATTTTCTGAAAAACAAACCAAACAAGGCCATCATGTTTAGAAAAATCTGCATTCCACACTAATGCTAATGTACTTATTACATAATTTTTAATGAAACACCTACAGTATTTGTCAATTTTTAGGACAAACATATAGTGAAGTGAAAATAATAGAAGAAAAATAACTCAGCATATAACTCATCCACCTGTAAGAGTGACAAGTCTCGCAGTATTTCAATGTTGTCTGCATCAATTTTTAGGGCATTGCGATAACATTTAATTGCCTCCCTGTATTCCCTATCTGATCGGTACAAGAGACCATAAACATGCCAGCAAACATGACTCTTGAGGTCATTCTGCATCAAAAAGAGAAGTTACCTCTAAAATGACTTAAATATATGACCAACAATATTGACGCAACAGCTAAGTAAAGAAGAAAGAAAAAACAATATAAGTGAACTCAGAAAGAATCCCAACCTTTAGTCCAAGCCGAACAAGTTCATATGCTTCTGCTTTTCGATCCATGCAATTTAATGTCAACCCCTTCATTGACAAAGTTTCTGGTAACCAGGGAAAAAAAAAAAAAAAAAAGAATTGGCCCCCCCAAAAAAAGATAAAAGAATTGGCCCCCCCAAAAAAAAAATCACATTTAAACAATAAAAAATGGTAGACATTCAACATGAAGAAGAGAGCAATAACAAATTTTGACTGTTATGCTTCAGCAAATATTGCTAGTGTAGAAGAGTACAATCCATTTGATAACAACTAGCTTTTATGGTTTCAATGCATGACATCCACATTATTTTTCACCTTGCAAATGAAACAAGGGGTAAAAGAACCTCATATGTCTAATCCCAGCATAAAAAGAAGCTCAAATGACAATACAATTACTCAGGCATTCATAAGCCTACAAAATAAAGTTGAATGAAGTTCCACACACCTCCATGATCTGGAAACTTCTTCAATATAGCATCTGCCGCCTTCAAGCCCTTCTTATATTGTTTGGTTTCATATGATTTCTGCAGGGTTGAAGACAATTAACAATGATGTTTCATTTAGCAGTAGCATTTTCTTAACCATATTGTCTAGAATGATTACAATGAAGAGATGATAAAAAATAATAAGAATAATAATAATAATCTGATATTGAATCAATGAAAAATGGTAATGTCACTAAACTTTTACTTGGCTCCAAATAATAAAAATCATGAATAAACTCTGGATAATAGTGATTTGCAATTGAAATTGATCATCACCATTCAATGTGAGCAACAAATTACTAAAAACTAAAAAATAATTAAATATCAGCATTTCACATTCTGGATGAAGATAATAGAATAATAGCAGGCAAAGCAAAGCGGGGTTGAATTTTAACATGTAATAATAAAAGTGGAAACTCCTCATATATTTAATCATCCATTCACAATAGCAACCCCACAATATACAATGACCTATAGTTCAAACTGCTTTATCTTGCAATGCTGATGTAGGCTAGTTGCGAGATGGGTAATACAAAGTTTTACAGATACAAGTCATACAATCCTGCAGGAATGTTGGCAGCCCGTTGTACCACTTGGGACATCACTCCCTTTGGTGCTTCAGTGAAGCCAAGAGCCCATACACCAAGACCATCACTACCACTGTCTAGTAAGAGAAAAGGCATGCCATAGAATCATCTTTTTCTCAAACTTGAGTGTCTTTATTGGGGGAATGCAGCCTAAGCGACTAAGGCATCCCCTAGATGACTAGAATTTTGTCTTTTAAATGATGCAGCAAAGGATGATTAACGTAAAAGTCCTTACATAAGCAAAAATTATGTATGCACACATGACACGTCTAATAACACTAGTGGTGGGTGCAAACACGATGCGTTGGCAATTTCACACTAAAATATTTGAATGGTCGGATGATTCTGGGGCAATTTGATAAACGATGAATTTTTTTTAACAATTTTGGACAGTTTGATGAAACAGTTGTTGGATAAGGCAGTTACTGAATATGAAGGTCATTATTGGACAACCAAAAATGTGCACCAAAAGAGGTATAGACTCCATATAATAGAATAGATAGATAATACAGAACATGCATACTGAACAAAGGCAGCAAATAACAATTCCTAATTCAATCATAATTCTAACTTTATTACCCCCACAAAGGTACTAAGCAGCATTACAAAGATATATCCCACAAACTAATTAGAAATAAAGTCATTTTGCATCCAAAATAAACTAAGCCTCGCATGCCAAACATGAATCCTCATAAAATGTTCCACGAAAATACTAAAAACAAATTTTTTTACAAATTCTGTTTACAAAATGAGGTGTGATGTCATAGTGACTGATTTAAATAATAGGAACAACCCATTGCCATATCAGTTTGCAAAGTAATTTTGTTGGTATAGCATTACTAAATGTTTTATATAGGGAAAAAACAGAACTTTAGCTTCAGAAGCAGATAAGCATTGAGTGGGGGGGTTTAAATTAACACCCTCTCTAAATATAATTAACAACCTTAAATGAGTTTTCAACATGCGATCCAAAGTCTTTTATAGTAAAACACATGCTCAAAGCTCAAAGAAAACGAAATTACACACACGATAAGAATACTTACAATCCAGATTGAAGAACCATTAACAGAACAAAATCTAGGGTTTTAGTTAGAGAAACCAAGCGAGGTTGAATGAGAGAGTAATTCAACTTCGACCCTACTCTGATAATTGTAGAGAGAGAGAGAGAGAGAGAGAGAGAGAGAGAATCGGAGAGCTTACGACTATGAGTTTGAAGAGGTTGGCCTCTTTGGGAGGAAGCGAAGCGCCCATTGTTGCCGACAAAAGTTGAGGAGAGAGAAATGATGGAGTAACGAAGCTGGAGATTGAAGAGGTACGGGAAGTTTTTTCAAGGGCTGCGTAGAGAGAGAGAGAGAGATGACAGTGGGGGTGGCGTTTACCTTCTGCAACCCTACTACTGAGAACAAGAACTGCACTAACAAGCAAAGTATACCCAAATCAATTGTGAAAGCACTCACGAGGATATATTTGTAATTTAAAATTTGTTAGCAATTCCAATTTTATTAAAAAATAGAGTAATAATAATTAGAGAAATTTTACTTACACTCCCAATACCCTTGGGGGAAAAAAAAAATTTATTTAATAAATTTTATAATTCATTTATTACTTCTATCCCCAACCTTTCTCCTTATCTTTATACCCAAAACTTAAAAAATCCCAACACCCACCGCTACTATCACCTCTGACCACTATCATTTTCAATCAGAAAATACTATAGATTCCAAATAATTTATCAAATTTTCTATCAAAACACTTACATGGGTGTGAGACCCATACAAACTCACATGTGTGTGAGTCCCACACTTAAGTGAGAGTTTTGATAGAAAATTTAGTAAATTATTTGAGATCCGTAGCATCACTCTTTTCAACCTCCATCACGTCACTTGATAATGATTACTTGTTGTACTCCTTGAAGCTCATCTGTATCATCATCTCCCTAAAGGAAATTAAGATACCGTTTAACAATTTTGTCTGTTGTTGCTGCCGCTAGAGGTTCACTGAGAAGATCATTATCCTTCCTCTCTCTCTTCCGACGACCCCCTCCGATGACCTCATCCACCACTGACAATCGCTATGACGCAAAGGTTGGAGTAGTGGTTACGGGACTGCATACATGGGACTAATTGGTGGGGTAATAGGGTGAAGGGGTTGTTGGAGATAGTCATGGAGTTGGAGGATGTAGTCAGAGGTGGAGGAGATAGTGGCAAGTGAATAGGGTGGCGCTAGCGCCCTTGAGAGATATGTAAAGATGTTAGAGGGCTAGGTTTGGGAAAGAAGAGGAAGAAGAATGGTGAAGAAATGGTTAGTGGTTGTAATAGTAAAAAGCTATGGCAGTGAGTGATGGCTGCGACGACAAGGGGCTCTGATGGTGAAGATGTTGGTTAGTTGTGATATTGAGGGAGACTTAGGATTAGGGTTAGGGTTAAGTTTTTTTAGGTTTTTGGTGTAAGGAGAAGAAGAAAGAAAAAAAAAATTAGGGGTGAGAGTAATAAAGTAATTATAAAAATTATAAAATAAAAATAAATAAATTTTGAAAGTATAAGGAGTTGAATTAGTGGTATAAGTAGAATTTTCCTAATAATAATCTTAGGGCCTGTTTGGTTTTAGAGATAAGTTTGATGGGATTGTTAGTATGATTATTAATGTTATGCTATTAAGTGAAGGGATTGTATTTGTTTGATGATCACAGGACTAATAAGAATTGTTGTTTGTTTTGTCATTCTATTATTATATGAAATTTCGTAAATACCTCGGTATTTTTGATATATTTTAATATTTAGAATTATATTTTATAAATATAACATATATTTTTGGGTATTATATTATTTTAATATATATTTTTTGGTATAAATATATTATACAATTATATTTTAATATTAAATATTATTTTTATATTAAATTACTTTTCAGGCTAACAAGAGGGAAAAATAATTTTTTTGAAGTTCATCCCAACATATTAAAAAATTTCATTTATAGAAGGTGACTTGGTTGTTTTTTTGTAATATGAGAGACAAAATAGTTATCCTATGGGATTTGAATACTACCTCCCTATGGGATTGCTAGTCCCCTTTTTAGAGAAGTATCATAATCTCATGGGACTGTTAATCCCATGAGAGATTTTCTAAACAAACATGATGCTTATAAGTCCCATCTTCACTATTAGTTCAATTTTACCATTTATCTCTAAAAACAAATAGGGCTTTAGGGTGTCCAAAATTTCATCCTATGAAGTAGGGTTGGACAAACATCCAGTCGATCCACCTAATTCACCTAACTCGACCTTAATTGGACGATTTCAATGCAACGGTCAGACGGATGCATGTCTAGTAGTTTCAAAAAAATTGTGTCTCGAATGAGTAACGGATATACAAGTTTCAATTTGCTAAACCCGACCTGACCTCATGGAACTAGGAATTGTTCATAAATATATATATATATATATATATATGTTATAAATAAATAAATAAATAAATATACAAAATATTTGCTATATGTTATATGCAACTCAAATGGTAAGAGCCTTGTTTATCAAATTTGTGATCTTAAGTTCTAGTTGCACCCTCTTCTCTATTTTTTTTTTTTTTTTCCTTTTTGTGAATAGAAAATTTGACACTTGGCATAAAGAGAAAGAAAGTTTGAAGACACCAAAATAAGTGCTTACATATATAATAATATAGAAGATATAGATATAGATATTATTTATCTATTCAATAAATAAAGTATTGAAACTTCATGGTTCACTTAAAAGAATTAGAAGTTTCTATAAAATACGATTTGCGTAAAAAAATTAGAATTCTATTTATAAAATTAGGATTTGTTAAATCTGACTACTTGATCTGCATCCACCGTCCAATCCTCATATCCTGCTTGGTTGATTGTGAAACCATGAGTGGTTTGATGCAAATGGGATTTTTTCAACTCAAACACTATTCGATTAGAAATGTGGCTCCTCTCCATACCACTATCGTCCATACTTCACCATACTCTATTTTATCGGCCTCATTCCGAGCCACAACGATAATCCAAAAGCGTTTATCTTGTAATTAGTAAAAGTCATCTATACAAAAAATCTGCTTCATCGGATATCACTAGACAGATGAAAAAATTATATTTGGTTTTTAAATGGACAACAACTATGAGTTTAAACATAATAAACCCATTTTATAAAACAAAATGTGATTTTTTTTTATCTATTCATTGATATCTGATAAAATTGATTTTTTGCCCAGACAATTTGTACTATGAGATTTACAAAATGAGCTATTTGAATTATTGTTGTGGACCCGAAATGAGGCTAATAAAATAGAGTATGGTTGTAACGTTCTGGGTCTAAAACCTAACTTGAACTCACTTGTACGGATGCCCCGACTTACTTCGGGTTTATGATTTGATGCATTATATTTTATTGTTGAGTTGGTTGAATTGATATCAATGACTATTTAACGTGTTGCCTTTTGAGTTAATTTTGTTTTAAGCGTAAGAATGAAAAATAGAGGCGTAAAAACACTTTTACACTTGAGCCTACCCAAGATTGGATCGCATGAGCAACCGAGAGGCAATTGGGTCAAGCACCACACGAACGGTGGGGTTCACTGCACAAGCGACCAAGGAGAGAAGGCCCACTACTTAAGCTCTGCACAAGCGGCCATTTGGCACCGCATGAGCCGTTGACATCAGCAGGCAATGACGTGGCTCATCCTCAGCCTAGTATTTTGAACCCCTTTTCTAATTTCAACAGCCAACACCCCCTCTCTCTTTATTTTCTCCCTTTTATCCCTATCTCTCTTTTTCTTTATTTTTCTCATCCCTCTCTTTGCACTCACTATTTCCACTATAGCTCTCATTGTTCAACCTCATCTTTTGAGCACTTAGAGTTAGAATTGATCTTTGACCCAAACATTGATATTGTCGAGCTTAATGAGGGCTTCAAGATCGACGAACTGAAAAGTTGATTCGGGCGTTCGTATCCGATTTGTGCCTCCTCCTCGCTTTAAAAGGTAAGGTTCTCTTTCATTAGGGCTGAGTAAGGAATTTGTGAAATCCGTAATCCGATCTAGTCTAGTCCAATCTGATAGGTTTGGATTGGTTTTTTGAATCCGTGGTTCAGTTCCGGATTGAAAAATTAAAAATTCGTAGTCTACGGATTGGTTCCGGACTGAACCCCACAGTTTCGGATTGGAACCAATTCGGATCGTATATAAATAGTCTATATTTTTATTATACACCCTCCCGCCCAGTATCTTCTCTTATTCCATATAAAACCTAAACCCGCATAGTATCTTATTTCATTAATTTTTTTTGTTAGTTTTTAGTTTTAATTTGTAATGGTCTAATACTTATGGTGGAACTAGTTTTCTTATGGTTGTTTAAATTCTAGAACAGTATGTCGCTATTATGGAAAGACATGTTGCTATTGTGAAACTAATATAGTGTTATGTTTATGTTTTTATGAAATTAGAGTGTTATATATATATATATATATATTTGTTATTTAATTATGTGAATCCGTGGTCCTAAATCGATCCAATTCGGGTTTAAATGGATTGGTTCCATGATTTAAACGGATTGGATTGGTTCTAATTTTTCAGGAACCGTAGATAACGGATTGGTCCTGGTTTTATCCCAATCAAGAATGAAAAATAGAGGCGTAAAAACACTTTTACACTTGAGCCTACCCAAGATTGGATCGCATGAGCAACCGAGAGGCAATTGGGTCAAGCACCGCACGAACGGTGGGGTTCACTGCACAAGCGACCAAGAAGAGAAGGCCCACTACTTAAGCTCTGCACAAGCAGCCATTTGGCATCGCATGAGCAGCCGATGCTACCGCATGAGCCGTTGACATCAGCAGGCAATGACGTGGCTCATCCTCAACCTAGTATTTTGAACCCCTTTTCTAATTTCAGCAGTCAACACCCCCTCTCTCTTCATTTTCTCCCTTTTATTCCTATCTCTCTTTATCTTTATTTTTCTCATCCCTCTCTTTGCACTCACTATTTCCACTATAGCTCTCATTGTTCAACCTCATCTTTTGAGCACTTAGAGTTAGAATTGATCTTTGACCCAAACATCGATATTATAGAGCTTAATGAGGGCTTCAAGATCGACAAACTGAAAAGTTGATTCGAGCGTTCGTATCCGATTTGTGCCTCCTCCTCGCTTTAAAAGGTAAGGTTCTCTTTCATTAGAGCTGAGTAAGGAATTTGTGAAATCCGTAATCCGATCTAGTCCAGTCCAATCTGATAGGTTTGGATTGATTTTTTGAATCCGTGGTTCGGTTCCGGATTGAAAAATTAAAAATCCGTAGTCCACAGATTGGTTCCGGACTGAATCCCACAGTTTTGGATTGGAACCGATTCGGACCGTGTATAAATAGTCTATATTTTTATT